GCTAGACCCAAAAAACTTCTTAGTTCCTTCACATTTTGAGGGATAGGCCAATTGGCTATAGCCTCCACCTTTCTCTGGTCTGTCTCCACTCCCTGCCCAGAGATGAAGTGCCCTAAATACTCCACTTTAGGTACAGCAAAGTCACACTTACTTCTTTTGGCGAATAGAGTGTGTTTATGAAGTATACCAAATACTTCTTGGAGGTGTGACACATGTTCTTGCAAGCTTTTGCTGTAGACTAAGATGTCATCAAAAAAGACCAGCACAAACTTCCTCAAAAAGGGTTGGAAAATATGGTTCATAAGACCCTGGAAGGTGGCAAGCGCATTAGTTAGGCCAAAGGGCATAACTAGAAATTCATAGTGACCCATGTGTGTTTTGAATGCTGTCTTGAACACTTCCTTGTCATTGACTCTAATCTGGTGATACCCTGCCCTCAAGTCTATCTTGCTGATCATTGTAGCACCAGCTAGCTCATCAATGAGTTCTTCTAACAAAGGAATAGGGAATTTATCCTTTATAGTAGCCTTATTAAGCTCCCTATAGTCAACACATAGTCTCCAAGATCCATCCTTCTTGCTGACTAACACCACTGGGGCTGCAAAGGGGTTGTTACTCAATTGAATTATACCACTATCCAACATTTCTACAATCAGCTTCTCAATGATATCCTTTTGCTTAAGTGGATATCTGTATGGCCTGATGTTTATAGGTTGGCTGCCCTCTTTTAAAGGAATGCTGTGATAAAAAATCCCTCTGCTTGGTGGAAGGCCAGTTGGGGTGTTGAAAACTCCTTCGTACTGTGCTAACACCCTTTCCACCTCTTGGGGTATGGCTTCTTTGTCCTCCAGCCCTCCTTTGATAGGGTAATCTTCCCTCTGAATTTGGACCATACACATTTGTGCCATAGTGCATATGGTTTTAGCTAGTGACCCTTTTTTCATCACACTGATCCTTTGTTTAGCTCCTCGAAGTACATGATTCCTGCCCAAATATTTAAACTCCATATGTAGTTGTTTGAAATTCCATCTCACAGTCCCCAAAGTAGTTAACCACTGGATGCCAAGCACAATATCACAACCTCCTATTGGCATGATATACATGTCAGAGGTGAACTCAGTACCCTGTAACTTCCATTTAAACTTTCTGCAGACATGTGTACACTGTAAGCTGTAGCCATCTGCCACTGTCACCTTCAATGTAGTAATCGGTTCCAAGTAGCAACCCAATCTGTAAGCTATGTTGAAACACGGGTTTATCGTGTTTTCGTACTAAAGCCGTGTTTGTTTTTATGATAGGTTTTGATAATGCCAAACCGCCATGAACGAGACAAGTTGTTGAATATACAAGGCAAGAAATAAGTATAAGAAGAAAGCAAGAGAACAAGAGCTAAAAGAGACCAAGAACGAAGACCTTAGACTTAGCATCATTGAGTCGGACTTTATTGTGATCAAGACCGACCCAATCTTTACACCTTGGCTCTTTAGGCTAAAATCCTTCATTGCATTTCTTACATCATAAAAATGTTCTTCAAACTTGTTTAAGTCATTAAAAACACTTGGTGTTCGCCCAAACCAAAAACCAAGCCATCCAGCGTTCGGGCTTCGGAAACCGGCGTTCGGCTCTCGGTTATCGGCATTGGCTTTTGGCGTCCGAACCAACCGAGTGGTTTTCAACATTTTATGATTGGTTTTCACTCTTTGGCATGTTTAAACGGTTCTCCAACAAAAACACTTTGAAAACCATCTTTCGCTTTTGGTCGTTTGACAAAAATCATTCAAAACGGCATAAATTTGGCTAGCCGTGGTTTTCACTCAAATGACGTGGTTTTTAAAGTGTCTCACTTGATTTCTTAGCCAAATACATTAAATAAGTGTTTTATATACTTAGTTTTTACTTTGGAGAACTTTGCATTTTTCGGTCGGGTTTCAGCGCCGGTTAGCTAGGCCATGGTTCTGGGCTAGCCATCTACCCAGCGATGGTAGATTTCACCCATGCATGGGTAAGTGATCCCGGGATTCCAGAATCATGTCACCCAGCGATGGGAAGATCTTCCCATCGATGGGTAAGCAGTCCCTTAGCCAAACCNAATGTTATTTCTCCCTTGAACATAGTTACTGAACCAAATTTCAGCTCTACCTTTGAGATGAATAGAGGCTAAATTTACCTGCTGTTCTTCAGGTACCTTACACAAGGAGAAGTATTGTCTGCATTTCTTGATCCATTCTCGTGGATTTCCTCCCTCGAATGATGGAAATTCGATCTTCGGATTGAAATGGAATGGATTTCTGCCTCCATTGTGATTTGATGAATTTCCTGACTCTTGATAGCTGCCAGATCCTTGTGTCTGCAAATCCTGCAGCTGATTTGCTAGCCGAGAGACCTGTTCTTCCATGAGTTTCCATTGTTCTGAAAGCTGCGATGCCATCCAATCACGTTGTTGTTCGATCATCTTCTTCAATGCTTCTTCCATCTTGATCTTCGCATGTGTATTGACCAGATTGTCGTGGTTTGGATCGAGAAGGAGCTCTGATACCAATGTTACAGTTATCAGGAAGCTACTCTAATGGCAGAATGAGAGCTTCGAATTAACTGTAATGGAGAATGACAGTTACAGAGGAAAGAGAGGAAGAAGATAGTGATGTCTTATTATTCATAACTCCCAAATGTACACAGGGTATGGTATTTATACAAAGGGCTTACAACAATCTTCACAACAACTTCTAACTAACTATAATAGCTTCCTACAAATCAGTAACAGCCCTAACTACCGCTAACAGAATAAGTTTACCAGCCACCTGGCTCCCATCTAGATGCTTGTGCTGTAACACAACGACGCATCATGATTGGCCTTTGGAATTTTGTATGACAAGAAACATATATTCTCATTGTGAAATTATACTTTTAGCCATTAAATTAACATCAACATAGTAGAAGATAAAAAATAGAACTATTTTTAGAAAGACACTCAAAAAAGAAAAACTATGAAGATAATATATTTGATAATAGAAAACTAAATTAAAAAATCCTCCTATCATAAAGGACCGCTCTATTTTAAATTATAAATCAGGTTTTGAACAAAGAAATACTACCTCCGTCCTAGGGTATTTGTCCACTTTCATTTTTACACATCATCCATGCACTTCTTTAATTCATTTTATCTTGTAATTTGTATATTAAAAAATTATAGAAATTATATATTAATAATCTATATGTTAAGACAAATCAAATAAGATCACACATGACTAGATTTAGGCTTACACATTGAGAAAATTTGATGAGTCAAAGTGCTTAGATGAACTATTCCAAAAGTTAAAAGTGGACAAATATAGCGGGACGGAGGAAAGAGTAATTGTTATGTTGAATGTTGATTCGATCTCCATGAGTATTAATTTTAGGGCTTTAGGCCATTGTATATTTGTATTAATACCATTCGTTTGACTAGTCAAAGCACCAAATAGCATTGGTTCCCCATGGGCTTTTCCTTCGGTGCCATTCGTAAAGTGAGGGTTTTGGTACACTCAATACATGGACCAATAGGAAGTAGACATGTGGTACCATATTCCACATCATTTAACATACTTTTGCTTATTACAATCAGGCCCCAAATCTAAAATTAAATAATTACTCCCTCCGTCCTAAAACTTTCTTCCCGGTTCGCAAAACGAAGAAAAATCCCAAGTTTTTTCAATTGATTTTATTTAAATATTGGTATAGAAATAAAAAATAAAACATACATATTTAAAAACTACATCAAAAGTTCAACAAAACAAGTGGTGACAAGAATATTTTATTTTATCATATAGGCCATGAAAAAACACAAATAAATATAAATTTTCCTGAAGTTTGAATAGTGTTCTGGGAAGAAAGTTTTAGGACGGAGGTAGTATTTCTTTCTATCGACGGTTTCTCCCATCTTCCGTTAACTTCATCCCTAGCGCCGTCTCCAACATCTCCGTTTCTTTTCTGCATCGACTCCACTAGCATCTTCATCAGAAGCCGCCGGCTGCCAGCGGCGTTCTCTATTTCTCTTCTCATCCCAGGTTTTTCTTCTCATCCCAAGCTGCCAGCGGAATCAGGATCTCAACCCAGGTTTTTTTTCTTCTATTTTTCCATTACAAGAAAGATACACATCATTCTATTATCTCAATTAAAAAGAATTATTATGAGACTAGTTAGTAATTGTGTTCCAAAGTGTTTTTTTTCATGTTCCTATCCTAGCTTGTTCTTATTGTTTGCTTGATTTGCACCATGAATTATCATTAGAAAGTTTCTATGATGTCATATGTATATATTTAAGCTATGAAAGTTTCTAGGTTTGTTCTTATTGTTTGCTTGATTTGCACCTGAAGTTTATTGGAACAAAAATGTAATCTTTGTTAAAAATATCAATTGCAATGTAGTGAAATATTATCCAAAAAGTGCTCTTAGTTCATTCCTTATGTTAGCAAGTGGGAAAATATTCCAGAGTGTTAGAAAGAAAAACAACTTCTTTCTTGATTTTGCATTCCAATCAAAAAGCTGAAGGAAACCACCAACATAACCTCCTCCTCCCCCTCTCTTGGAGCCATGTCTCCTCTCTGCCCCCATCTCAATGCAGTTTTCAAGGATTCCTTATAAACATTCCTAAATTCACATAATGTTCTGCGAATTATTCCATTTTGGTGATGGAATTAGTAAGTAACTAAGCACATTGGTATACTTGAAATGAAATGCAGAAAAAAACTAGCAATATAGAAATCCTTTGAAAGCGACAACAATAGAAATTAGGAGTAGCATCTTCTCTCTTGTGTATTAGGTTATAAATTCCATGTAGATGTTGGGGAGATGCATTCCGCTCATTATGTGATATTTTCATCCATTCAGAACATTTTGTACCTCGGTCAAAAGGTTCGTCTAGAAATTGAAAAACTCATTTTATATTCTCTTAACCTAGTTGTTTCAACTTTCAATAATCATCTAAGTGTAAGAATGCCTTTTTTTCATTCCTCAATATCATGGGGTACAAGATATTCCAAAGTATAAAATGATTAGTCAACTGAACTAAAGATTGAAACTTTATTTGGCTTCAACTCATTTCAAGCTTCGCACTTGATATTAAAGGCAATATGATCATCAAAGCTTATTTACAAGACTACAACTCAGCTCCACTTACTGCTTGGAAGACAGCAACGTAGAAGACTTCACTGTAAGTCTGTAATCAAGAAAACTAAAGTTTTATTAACAAAACCAAAGAAACCGAAGAAAATCAAGAAAAAATGAAATGATTGAGATCATATGATTTTTTAATGCTTACAGATTGAAAGTTTATCAAGTTTCATCTCATTCCATGCTTCAGAGTTACAATTAAAGGCAATATGATGATCAAACTTCATCAATAACTCATCACCAGTTTGGAGTTAGCAATCCTTCTAAAATCTTATCAAGAAAGAAACAAACTGGACTGAAGCAACACAGAAATTAAACCCCAGAAATTCAAAAACAAGAAATGCTTCTTAAGCTAAATTCACTCTTCAATGTCTTGGTTGAAGTATGACAAGTACTTCCTCCATTCTTAAAAGATTGAAATGGTGGAAATTTTACACTATTCGTACTCTCTCATTTTATCATTTTTATTATTCATATCATCATATGTAAGCAGAAATGTTTCTTGTGCACGATCTTGTAAGGTTCGTCTTGATATGAACTTTGATAATATCATCTTTTTAATTTTTTTATTAAAACATATTTGAAGATATTACTGATTTAATTTATGCATTCACAAGCGTGAAAAGGCAAGTGTTGCAACCATTAAAAAATTGGAGGAAGTCAATATATGATGATAAGTAGTCAGTATGTGCGTAGAAAAATATCTGCAGCTTCTCGAATTATGTGCCTATCTTTCTAGTGTAGATGTTTATGGTACTGCAGTGTATTCTATTTCTTCTTTGGGAAGAAAGAGATGTCTAGGAATCAGTGGATGTGTTAGGGCTGCGTCCTAAGCTATATATACTCTTCTAGTGGAGATTTCTAGATTATTGTATTTGTTTTCATACTCTATATATTTTTGGTATGTGCTTCTAATTTCCATTATTTCTTGACTTTCATAGGAACTTAATAAACATTCTTGCGGAAGTTTCACAAACAGGGAAGCCAAGGCACATTCCCTATAGAGGTTCCTCGTTGACATTTTAATTACAAGGATAAAATGTAAATTATTAATATCCAAGAGTCAATACAATGTACATCCACAAAGTAAACATACAATGCATCGGGGCATACCCCTATAAAATCAAAGCAAAGTGGCACGCACGCCCAAACAACAAAACATGAGTAAACAAGCACAAGGGAAAAAATGTACATCACATAGAAACATGATCATCACCAACACCAAGGCTCGTCCTCGTAAAATGCATCAACATCGTCAATAGGTCATCAAAAGGAAGCATAATCCTCATCAAAACTCCGAAAGTGAGACCACCGGAGGGCTTTATGAATCATCAAGACACCAACCAAAAGGGGTCATTTGCGTCATTGTTGCCACTACAACGACAAGTCCTCAACATGTGTAGGCTCATCAAGTTCACCCTCAAGGAATAGATGTCATGACCCAAGTCCACAAGTTCAACATTCGCCACCTTGCCAGAGTAAACTCAGCCATACCTGAACAGAGACGGCAACGGCAATTGGCCCATGTAAACTCAAGTAGACCAGGCCTGATGTCACAAAGCACGAGAAAAGCACCCAATCTGGCATCCTAAATCACACAAGGGGTTATGGGTTCCCAAGAAGTCTCAGCTATCACACACTAGGGGGGGTCCAACGTACCCTTCCCTTGACAGTGTTGAACACTGGAGCGTCAGGCTCACAATGGCTTTCCAACAAAATGTTCGGAATGCAGCGAGAAATGCAGATGGTAGGCCCACCCATAGGTGTTCAACGATGCAAAACTGGGGGAGGAAGAAGCACGGTTAGTTCAAGCCTAAGGAAAAGTCCTCAATCACACCCAAACCGTCCACACAACAGTCAAGTTCTGCCCACTTTTTCAAACAATGTTTCGGGTCATACGAGGCTGAACTAATGTCTACTTTATCGAAAATGGAAGTCTCTATTATGCGTTATTATATCATCCATGCCTTACAAACTGGGAAGAAGGAGAAAGCGATTGAATTTTTCGATAGCCATGGTAGCGAGTTACTGCAAAAACACCAAGATTGGGCATTGTGGTTTGGTTGGTTCTATTTGACATTTTAATTACAGGAATCACTAGGAGGGGAATGCAAAACTGGCAATGGCCTGTGCCATTTCTCGGGCGCAAAGGTGAGATTAGACCCGCTAATGTTTTTCCCCTGCATATTTTATTATCTGCTATCTAGGTCATTCTCAAAGTGGGTGAATTTTATATGAAAAAATGCAGCTGTAAGAATGAGACTTTTAGGACCCTGAGATTTGCTCAGCGCGCGAAGGCAATTAACAATAAGGTAGTTGTCAATGAAGAAATGCAGGAAGATGTCAATTTCTTGAGAGATGTTATACGGCAACTTAAGGTATATAATTGGTATATAATATGTCTTCTTTCTTTTCAGTTCTCTGGTTTCTCTCCCATAATATTCTTGTTTAAAAATAAAGAGTGGTGGGTAAAGCCAAAGAGAATGTACTTTGATCCTTGCTTTGGTTTATTATTATTATCATCATCATCATCATCATCAACATCATCATTATCATCATCATCATCAATTTACCCTAGATGGACCCACATGACCTTTAGATGGAGAAGAATTCCTCTGATTTGTTCGTACCAGATGATGTTATTAGCAGCAGTGGAACAAGGAACGGATCCCAAGATTCAATGTCTGATGAAGAGGCACCGTTGATTCCAACAGCTAGAATCTCTCATTTTGGACGAAGCCAACTTGAAGGCGGCAGCAGCCACTCTGCATGACCTGTTTAACACACTGATAGCTTTGTTTTGTTCGATAGTAGAAAAAGCTAAGAAGCTGAGTGAAGAAATTTCAATGTTTTTATTGCAATGCCCAGTAACTGCCCACTTCATATTGTGCGTTATTGTACTGTAAACTTTTAAATCAATGTCACCTATACAAAGACTCATCATTTACATGTATGGAGTAATTTTTTAAGCCGCGAATATTCATGCTCTCATTGTGTTCCTTCACTTGTTTTAATAGGAATATTTTCACCAGGTAGATATCAGGGCATATATTATTGACAAGATACTGGCCTATTCAGCCACTTTAGTTTTTGACCTGCCCATATTTTCCAAGAAAGAAAACATGTTTTTACCAGGTAGATACCTGGGCATATATTATTGACAAGATACAGGCCTATTCAACCACTTTAGTTTTTGACCTGCCCATATTTTCTGTGAAAGAAAACATGTTTTCACCAGGTAGATACCTGGGCATATATTATTGACAAGATACTGGCCTATTCAGCCACTTTAGTTTTTGACCTGCCCATATTTTCTGTGAAAGAAAACATGTTTTCACCAGGTAGATACCTGGGCATATATTATTGACAAGATACTGGCCTATTCAGCCACTTTAGTTTTTGACCTGCCCATATTTTCTGTGAAAGAAAACATCGATTCCGCACAAGTAAATCACTCATTTCACAACAGAACACTAAATATATGGTGGCTAGAGGGAAGAGTTGTGTTTGGAACAAAGATAAGATGAGATCTGATCTTATTGAAATTATTGATACTACTACGTTCCCATTCGACCTTATCAGATTCAATTTGATTACATTTGATCTCTCATGGTCCAATCTGATTTGGAATGATCGTGCTTAGGATCCATTTCGAACAACTTATTGATGGTACTGATTAATTATTCTTATTAAAATAAGATCAGATCCAATCACATTAAACCACATCATGTCAGATCGGATCAGATCTAATTAAATCAAATTATATCTAATAACATCAGATCCGATATAATCAGATCAAATTGGGACGAAAATCAGATGACATCTGATCTGATTTCTGTTTTCAACTTTATTTTTACATATGTGTGAACTTTGGATCGTCGTTAAAAGTGACAGTCAAATTAAACTAACTGTTAAATATAGTATGTATATATTTAATATTAATTGTGTAATCATTGTATACATGGTAGTTTACTTGTATAGGAATCCTTCTGTAATTAGGATCTTCCTGTATTATATATACGAGGCTTAGCCCTCCGTTCATAATATAGAAAATAATAATTCTTCATGGTATCAGAGCCTCTGTTCCGCTCTCTCTCTTGCTCGACCAAACCCTAGCAGCGCCGCATCTCCCCAGCGCCGCCTTCTCTCTCTCTCTCTGCCGAACTTCAGGAGCGCCGCTTTCACAGTCCGGCAGTCTCCCTCTCCTTCGCCTATCTCCTTGTTTTCCTTTCGGCAGACTCACCACCACCACCATGTCTGAGAAAGCTCCGACCACCAACACGGCATCATCATCTTCGACTCCTCACTTGGCGTTCACAACCATCTCCAACGTCAAGCTTCATGTGCCAATTCTTCTCAGTTTCTCCGAGCCGAATTACAAGAAGTGGAGTCGGCTTTTTCTCCTTCTCATCCGCCGGTTCTCCTTGGGTGACTTTCTCACCGGCAAGTCATCACCGTCAAGCGCCGACGACAACGAATGGCACCAACTCGACGCTCTCATTCAAGGTTGGATCTTATCTACGGTGAATGATGAAGTTTGTGATCTCGTGCTCTCTACCACCAACTCAGCCTCGGAATTATGGAAATCAATCTACAATCTATTCCATGACAACAAAGCAGCCCGGGCTATGCAACTTGAGCACCAATTCCGCACAACCACGAAAGGGTCTCTCTCCATGGCCGCCTATTGCCAAACCCTTCGCAACTTAGCGGATTGGTTGGATGATGTGGACGCCACCGTCTCCGAACAACAACTCGTTCTCCAAGTTCTCCGTGGTCTACCGGATGATCGTCGTGGCCAAACTTCCTTCCTTCAATATCAAACGCCGCCCCCCACTTTTCTCCAAACTCGGTCGGCCCTCCTTCTTCTTGAACAACAACGGACTGACTTGGGTGGTGGCAGTCTCGGTGGAGACAGTGGCACGGCACTGTACGCCGGCAGTGGAGGCCCTAGCGGCGGTGATTCACGGCGCCATGGCAGCGCCGGTGGCGGACGGGCAGATCGGGCAGACTCAAGCGGCAGGGGCAGTTCTGGAAATTATCAGCGGCAGGGGCAGCGTGGTGGACAGCAGCGGAGTCGTGGTCGCGGCCGAAGCTCCGGGTCAAATGCACGGCACACCTTCGGGCAGTTTCCTGGACAGTACGCCAACCCAAACCCTAACCCCGGCCTTCTCGGGCCTCGCCCTAACCCTCACCCATATCCCCAGGCCTATTTTTCTACACCCTACCCACACGCCGGTGCCCCCTACCCGTACTCAAACCCCTACCCAACAGCCCCACCCTACCCGCCACCTTCACCCACACCAACAACCCCCTCTGCCGGTGCCAACAACCTCACACCAACAGCCCTTGCCCATAATTTTGACACCCTCAGCCTTCGCGATCCGCAATGGTATATGGACACCGGCGCCACACATCACATAGCCTCTGACCCAGGTACTCTTTCTCATGTTCGTACTCAATCTTTAAATTCATCATCATATATTACTGTCGGTAATGGTTCTAAAGTTCGCACTACGGCAACTGGTAATTATCATTTTCCCACATCCCCTCCCCTCCACCTACAAAATATACTTGTCTCTCCCCACATAATTGACAACCTTATCTCCGTTAGACAATTCACCCGTGACAATAATTGTTCTATTGAATTTGACTCCACTGGTTTTTCTGTGAAGGATATGCTGACGGGAACCGTGATTCATCGGTCCAGTAATGATGGCCCACTCTACCCTATGAGCCCAACAGCTGACCCTGTCCCAGTCCAGGCCCACGTTGCCACCGGAGATCCGGAGCTCTGGCATCGTCATCTTGGTCACCCGAGCCTTGCTGTCCTCCGTGGAGTCTCTAGTCTTTCGTCTACTATTTCTTTTAAAAACTTGCAGCACTCTCTTTGTCATGCTTGTCAGTTGGGAAAACATACTCGTCTCCCGTTTGAGTCCTCGAGTCGTATTTCTACTTTTCCTTTCCAGCTTTTACATACTGATTTGTGGCAATCGCCTGTTACTAGTGTTACTGGTTTTAAACATTATATGTTACTCTTAGATGATTATTCTCATTTTTTATGGGTATTTCCTCTTCGAAGTAAATCTGAAGCATGTTCTCACCTTCATACTTTTATAGCTTTTGTGAAAAATCAGTTTAACACTACAATTAAAGCTGTGCAATGTGATAATGGTACTGAATATAGAAACAGGCCCCTTCGAAACATTTTTGAATCTTTGGGTATTATTTTTCGATTCTCCTGCCCCCACACCAGTTAACAAAATGGACGGGCTGAACGCACCATTCGCACTATAAATAATACAGTTCAGTCTCTCT